ACTGTTCTGTGTTTCAAAAAGGATATTGCTCTAGGCTGCGCTGCAGGATCCTGCTAAAGGGATTCCTCTTGGATGGCTAGACAGGCCCATAGGGGAGCATGAATACCAGGAGAGAGGCCTGTGCTCATGTGGAGCATTGCAAGGAAAGGAACATGATGTTTTCATGACAGTGTCCAGAACCATTTGTCCCTGTTTCTTGGACAGATGCTGGTGAACATGACTTATTCTTTTCCTGTTCCCAAATGCAGAAGTTGTTAACAGAATCTCAAAAGTGTGGGCATAAAGATAACCTGGGAAAATGTTCCTTTAGCAATAGCAGGGTTTATTGCAAAGGAGGAATTGCTATTTGATTTTTTTTTTTTTTTTTTTTTGCCTTGGTTCAGATTCACGTATCTTCTTTTCTCTGTCTCCTGAGCAGATGAGATAACAAGAGGTAAAAATCTGAGGAGAAGGTTTCAGGCTGTGTAGTAATAGTGCTTAAGACTGTACTGTCTTACTGGCTTTCCTGCTCATTCATGATACTGCATAGGAGAAGACACATAAGCGTTTTTGAGTCCTCAGTTGCCAAATTCTATCGTCTGAAGAACAGAAATGGAGACTTTAAGGCGAAAATATTGAGAATGGAGGTTGCTCCAAGGTGTTCCTATTGTCCTCTAAATCAGCTTGAAGGTAGGACAGGAACGTGTGGTAGTTGAGCAATAGCAAGTGTTGGTCACAGAGGACCTCGGCAGGATGAGTCGCTTTTTCCTTAGCAGGCTGGAGGAGGGAACTCGCCATAGGGATAAATGTGTGTTTGCTGTGCCGTGACCTGAAGCTGGACAAAGAATACATGCATTGACCTGCATAGGTGGTACTAATGGCTATTGATTGTTAGAAAAATTATGCCTTTTTTAATCCACTTTTTTAAGGTTGTTGGGTGTGTTGGTATTTTTAAGCTTTTTTCTTTTTTTCCTCAACATTGAGCACCGTGTTGGCTGTTCCTAGATGAGCAGTGGATTTCCTGTTGGTGATGGTGGCTTTGTTAGTCAGTTTATTTATGGATTTCTTCCCTTGCCTAGTCAAGCAAGAGGATATCTCTGGCTGCATCTCTGGCTCCTAATCATTTAATCTGTTTATGAAAATAAAACTTAGTGTTTCTACTCTTACATTTGGGTTTATCACTAATGACCTACAATGCTAGTCTGGGCCCAGGGATCCTCTCTAAAGAAATAGGATGTTTGGAGGGGGAAGCCGGGGAAATCATAGTGATTCTCTATCTTCTGAGTAAGATGAGCCAAAGAATCCAATGGCAAGTTCAAAATTTCATCTGAAACTTCAAAACTCTTTCCTTCTGGAACATCTCAAAGTGAGTTTAGATTGTAAGTGCTGGTAGTACCACAACTCTCAGGGAGATATGTTGCTGTAGCTAATTATCCTTTGGCTTTAATAATGATTTTAAAGCTTTGTGTCTAGTTTGAACTTGTCAAACTTAGATGGTCAGCTGTGGCATCTCACTGGCTCTTTTTTTTTTTTTTCTTGATTAAGAGAGTCATCTCCTATGAAAAGTCTTTCACACCTGCATAATTCTGTGTACTATTACCATCTTGCTTGAATTCTTGGTTAAATTAAACAGGATGAGCTTTCTTGGGATTTGAGGCATGATTTCTAGACCTTGGATACTTCTGTAGTTATTTCTTATATTCATCCCAAGTTTTTGTCTAAGAAGGCCAGAAGATGGTATAGCATGTCACAAACAGTCTGTTAGGTGTTGTGTATAGAGTTATTTTCAACTTCCTTCATGTTTGTATATTTATCTCCTTGTAGTTTGGAGGATGATTAACCACTTAAGCTGCAGACCTGTGTGCAGCTTTCATAAAATAACTATTTACAATGATTTCCAAATTGTCTTTGTTTTTTACTGTCCTAAGCATAACCAGCCTTCTCTGTTCTTTGGTAAACAGTTCCATCTGGCACCAGAAAAAAGCTCAATGTCCAAACAAGTCACCACTCCATGCATTTGTTGTGTGACATTTCCTTGATTATATTTATTGTCTTTCACCAAAGAGCCTTGCTTAAGCTTATCGTTTAAGAAAAAGTCATTCTCATATGACTTGCAGTCATTCCTTACACCTTTATATATAAACTTTTGCCTCCTACTTAGTTTTCTTTTTCTTCAGGATAGGAAATGGTCCCTTTTAAAGCACTGCGTTATGTAGAAATGTTTTTTATCCACATTGAATCAAATTAGTTTATAATAAATTGAACTTCAGTTCTTGATTTCTAATTGTAATCTAATATGCTTTTAGCCTTGCCTAACTGCTGTGATTTTTTTTTTTTTTTTTTAAAGTTCATCACTTGTATTTTTCAGAAACTTAAAGATACTTTGTTGAGGAAAACTACTGGTATGCATTCCTTTCCTGGAGTCTTTCCTCTCACGTCATATTTATGTTTGAAAGAGCTCTTCATCACATTCCTTTCTGATTGAGCTGTTGACTGCAGGATCTGTATTGATACTGACACTAATGTGCCTGTTAATACATTGACCCATATCTACTCTAGATGAAATAAGCAATCACTTTAGAGCAGATAGTGGTGTCTTCATTATACCCTACAACTTGCCATTCTCTTCTGTTTGTCCCAATGCTTTTAATGTTTTAACTGTTTTTTTGTTTTTTTTTTTTAACGTTGAAGTAATTTGAAAAACTCTAGCTGGCTTCAGAAATTGTATTGAATCACACTTATTATCAGAAGTTAGTTTCTCTCCCTCTGTTCATTATCTTTTCTATTTTTCAGGTAATGATCTCATATAACTTCTGAGTGTGCTCCCTACTAAATACCAGTTGAAAGCTCCACAGAGTAATCTGGTTTGGTTGCTATCTAAAATGTTAGGCAGTCCCACTATAGAGAGAGAGAGAAACTTCAAAGGTTTGTGGACCTCAGTTTGCAGAGTGGGGCAGATAATCCGCAAGATATCTGTTACGTAGCCAGTGTTTAATCTCCTGTATCTTCTGCACTCTGTTTCTTGCGCTCAGGCATCAGCAAGGATTCCCAAACAGGCTGTCTTTCCCCTGTATTCAATAAATGTTACTGAATGTGGCCCAGGTCTACTACTGCGTTGTGTTCAGTGACAAATTTGGCAAATTTGGCATCTCTTTCCTCTTTTTTTTTTTCCCCTGTAGAAAACTGGCTCCTTTATTGCCATCACTTTATTATCCAACTGAGTAGGCAGTTGCCTTGTCTGAAAGTCAGTGTACAGCTCTCTTCTGCAAAGGATCAGTAGTTGCCTACCCAAAGGGTCATTTTTTTTTTTTTTTTTTCCTACTGACTTTTCTGTCTGTGGGAAACCTGTCTTTGGACAGGAAACAGAAAGTGGTATGGCCTTTGCGGCAGCTGGTAGTTGGCTGTTGGCTATAGGGAGCTGTGCCTTTGCAAAGGAAACCTGTGTTCCCTCTCGCAAGATATCTCAAAAATTCTCTCTGCCATCGGATTTACCTCTCTGCTAATATGATTGCAGCAAGGAAGCAAGGACAGCTATTCTAAGCCTAAGTGGAGTCTGGATATGCTTCAGTGATTCATGCCCTAGAAAAACATGGTTTTCCTGTTTCTATAGTGGAGACATTGTTTCTGACTGCCCACTTAGAGCAGTGGCTCAGTGTTTGGGAAATGCTTGCAACTGAAGGCTTCTACTTTTTTTTTTTTTTTTTTTTTTTACCATTTAGATTTCTTGCAAACAAAAGAAATCCCACACAGAAAAAAACCAAGACTCAAACTGTATTCTGGTATTTCTAGGCTAGAGATTAGGATTAGGATATAGTTACATGTCTATAATAAAAAAGGTGGTAAAAAACAACCAAACATCAAAACCATAGTTTGAAGGGAATAATTAATCAATGGCCTACCCCATCTCTTTGCTTGTGAAACAATTAATTAGTGTGTTGAGAGTTTTATTTAACAAGCCTATGACTTCCTGAAAGTATACCAAAATATTAAAAACAAAGGTAATAAATACAGAAGTAATACATAAAAAGAAACCAAAAGATAAACCTTTTTACTTGATAAACCAGTTTTCATATGTCAAAAATCACTCAAAAGCACTTCAAAATATGAAATTAATCCAGCATATGGGAAAAAAGGTGTTCATAAATGATGTCCTGCAATAGTAAAATGTTTCAGGCATAGCTTATAAACAAACCACCCGCAAAGCAAACAAAAAAAAAAAAACCTCCAAACCACTCAAAACCCAACACCATGATAAAAACTCTGTAATCTCCAAGCTCCTCATGTGTTCCTTTTCCTGCCATCCACTCTCCCCAGGGTTTATCACCTTGAGCTGCAAGTGGGTCATAAGTCATAGCAGTTGTGACCGTTTCTTATTCAGACAGTAACATGTTGAGTAATTTTATAAGCTACACAGAAATAGTATTTTACAGTAGGAAAGGACTAATTTGCTACAAATTACTGCATTAACTTCACAGACTCATTTCACTGAATTGATGGTAGTGACATGCCAATTTTATAGCTGGTATGGTAATTCATCTCAATATTGTTTGAAAAGAAGAGGAAGGGAAAGGGGGAATTTGGGTTACACATTTCCAAAATTGAAAGGGACTGAACTGTCCTGATAGTTATCTAGCTGTTCTGAACATAATGAAGATAATAATGGTTTACTTTACATGAGGCACTTAATGCATTTGCACTGTTTTTGAACAGTATTATAATAGTTCAAACTGCAAAACCAGGCTAATCTGCTTTGTTTTTATTACCAGCATCGTACTTTAGCATCTGAGCAAGGACATGAACTTTATTCATAAAGTTAAACTGTTGTTTAATGAATAAGTTACCCTTGAAGATTTTTTCTTGCTGCTGCTTTTTTGTGCATGTTAAAATGAAGAGAGGCAACTGTTAAAAAAGTGGTGTTAGGGAAATGGAGGCATGATTTTAAGAGACAAATGTATACATACACACATTGAGATCTTGTAGATCATGTTTTAAATGTTATGAAACTTCTAATAATACTGCAGTGAAGTTGTTCTGTGGGCTGATGGTGACTAATGTCTTTGTTTTCTATACTTCCTAGAAATTAAGAAGCCACCAGTGGCCCCCAAACCAAAATCTGTGGTAGGAAACAAGGCAACGCCTCCACCTGTTGCACCGAAGCCTGATGTTGTACTTTCTGGTGTTTTACAAGCAGCAAGGAAAACCAAGCCAGCAATTGCACCAAAACCAAAAGTTCTCAAGAGCTCATCCATTCCAGAAGTTAAACCTCCATCATCTACAAGAAAAAGCACAAAAAGCTTTGAGGAGCACAGGGTAGATTCTTCTCAAACGCTAGACCATTTGAACCATAAAAATGAAGCCTCAGAAGGGAGTACTAGTAACAGAGCATATATTCTACCAATGCCATCTTGCAAATTTGAATGCCTTAATAAACTTGGAAATAGGGAGAACACCTGTAAAACTCAGATCATTTTTGAGCACTTTGAAAACTTAGAGAATATCAAAGTTGGTGACAAAAACGATAGTCACAATGAAAAACTGGCAAATAGAAACGAAGTGGTTTTAAAAGCCAGCATTTTGGAAGATAAACTTAAGGATGTTTTAACTCATAGTGTGTTTCCTAACAGTAGTCCTGTGAGGCACAGGTATGCAGACAAACTTGACAAAGGAAATGGCAGTGGTTCCAAAAACAATGTTAAAATAGAGTTTTTGGAACTTGTGCAGTCTTCGTCATCTTCTGAGGTAGCTAAAGGGAAGCAACAAAATACTGACGGTAAGCTCACTGATGATGAGTTTCATGTGTCTGAAATTTGTCCTAATTTGCCTGAAAATAACCACAGTTGTTCTTATGCATTGGACCAGCTAGTCCTGGAAAATGAAAATTTAAGTGGCGATAGTACATTTTCAGGTGAAATAGGTATGAAGGCAGATGCCAGTAAAGCCTCCTCTGAAACACCTTCGGTCCGGAGCTCAAAAGTACTTCCTATCCCTAAGCCAAGAAAGCCACGTGCTGCATGTCTTGTCCGTCAGGATGGCATAGACAGCACAGGAGAGGGAACAAAGGAACTGCCTAATTCAGAGAAAGATTCCGTTGGGCCTGTGGACCAAAACTTTAAAAAGCCAGCAAAAATTAATATCCTTGGTCAAAGTGTTTGTTATAACAATAATACAGAAGTACTTCATCCTGAAAAGTGTGAATTAACTCAAAACAACGCAGACAAAAGGCATCAGGTGAAGGAAACTGCTACAGAAGAGTCAACTTCACAAAATCTTTTGCCTACGTTGTCACACAAAACTTCTGATTTGGTGGAAAGTGTTGAATGTTCTTTAGATGCAGACCGTAACCATTTTAACTCCATGGATGAGATGTCAGATGATAACAGTATGCTAGATGCTGTGGACAAAAGGACTAACTTTGTTAGGTGTGATACTTTGTCCATGAGTTTGCCAAAGCAACTCAAATTAACTAGCGTTCAGTACTCATCTGCTTCCAGTAGCCTCCATGTTTCCCCACAAAAACTGGAAGATAAAGAAGGTAAAATAAAGGACGAAATTTCTCCAAAAATTGTTCCTAAGAAACCACAGAGGCATAGCCTTCCAGCTGCTGGCCTGCTGAAAAAAGCTGCATCAGCAGAGCTTGTGGAGAAACAGTCTTACACCTCCAATGAGGGCAAATCAAACAGCGTTCTGGAAGGATCTCACTTCACACATCAACCAGCCAAGGAGCAAGGCGTACTGTCATCCTGTGATATACCCAAACGTTCTTCTGAGAAACCCGTCTGGAAGTTACCTCATCCTATTCTTCCATTTTCAGGAAATTCTGAATCATTAAAAACTGCTAACATGGCTACCAACTTCAACCACTTAACTATTGTGACGAAGCCTAGGGCTAAATCTCTCTCTTCTGTGGACATGGAAAGGACAGACAAGCCTAGCAAAGACCATCACAAGAAAAACAGCTTAAAAAAGTTTCTCAACATGAAACTGTCGGTGTGCTTAATGAAAAGTGACTTCCAAAAGTTTCTGACTAAAGGCAGCCAGTCAATGGATAGTGCTATTGCCAACCTTGCCACCAGGGATGGGTATGGAAGTGCTAACAACCAGAATATGGCATCTGTAGGCAGTGAGAGGAAAGCTAAATCTGCCAAGGCACATTCTGTAGAAATAAGTAGTCCGGCATTACAGAAGAGGCAGAGAAACAGAAGTCAGCCTGAGATGCGAAATAACCAGAGGCTGGAGTCTTTAGATGGGAATGTACTTTTGGGAGAGAATTTGTCACAAATGCATTTGAATCCTGTAACTGGCACTTGTGCTCCGGAGTACGAGAACATGCGTCACTATGAGGAAATACCCGAGTATGAGAACTTGCCTTTTGCTATGGGTGCAAGGAGAAATCTCTGTTTTGAATGGCAGAGCTCCAGCAGCATGGAAGACCAGAGCCTTGGTTTCTATGAGGTTGAGGAGCCTTGTGAAGCTACAAGCAGACATTTGAAACTTGGCAGGTAAAATAAAGAGAAAGTGAAACAACTCCATTGTAACTTTGTTGGTTGTAAACAGATTTAGATAATGACTTTGGAGGCTGTACCTCTTCTGTTAAATGTCAGCAGGTCTGTCGTTGCTGTATATCTTTCTGTATGGTTTTGCTGGTTTGAAAACTGGCTGCACTTGGTAGAAAGTCGAGAGGAAAAATAAGCTAGTCATTTCTCAATATGGTCAAAACTAATGTTCGTGCTTTTCAGATTTAAAGTAGATCAGATAGTCATGTATTTGTGTCCAAGAATACCTAATTGGGAAGAAGGAACCTTACCACAGTCTCAGGATGAACTTGACTAAGCATCTGTGAAGTGCATAGTTGTTAGGTTTGTAAGGGAAATTAATACATTTTTAGATCAGCTAATAGAGGTGGGAAAAACAGAGAAGCTTTTGGCTATGCAAATTCCTCATCACATCTCAAAAGCTTTTCAAGTATAACAAAAGATATTTCCTCTCCCTGAATATAGTGAGTTTTGCATCTCCCTATGCTCCCAGCAAAGGTAGTAGCGGTGCACGTGTTCTGCATGACTCAGACGGAATGTTACTGAAAGTTGGGGTTTGGTGACTCTGCAGGTTGCTGCTGTGTTTCATTGTCTCAGGAGGTGGTGGAGCAAGATAATATCAGCAGATTCGAAGAGGAATTGGGCTGATTCATAGATATGTACAAACCAGATGTTAATGGGATAGGCAGGAACAGATCTTTTAATATCTGTAATACTGTGACTGTGGTTGCTGGGAAGAAGGAAGTGGCCAGGTTTGTATGCTGTCCCTAAATAACATTGCTTACTGTGCCTTTCAGAGTGTAGTAACAGGTGAAGCATTGTTTTGACCCAGTATGGTGTCATTTAACTTCTTCACTTCAGCTAATCAGTTGGTCTTAGAGATACTAAAGATTAATTTCAGACCAGCAGTAAGGATTTGAATGAAATATGCAGCCTGTATAATCCATAGTCCCTAGCAAACTGATTTGCACTGTTGGCGAGGGCTTATAGGTAGTCACATTTAACTTCATTTTTTGTGTAGAGTTACTAAGCTTCATTTAATTTTTGGATGTGTGTAGCAAACACATGGTCTGAAGAATCTGAAGTCTGGCCATTCTTTAAGGGAATTGTGTCTTCCTGTATAGGAGGAGACAAGCATTTTAAGTGGTATCTTGTGTTAATAATTATTTATAGAGTTGGTTTTCTCAACATTGGATTGTTTGATGGAAAGCACAGCCTTATGGGAAGTAGGATTTCTCATTCTGGGCTCAGTATTGGTATATTTATTCATGTGTTTGTTGAGTACTTTTGTTTACAGTAGGGTGTTCCTTGGTTTTGTCTCTGATATACTTTAATTTCCTGACTGAGTGTATGCATTTTGTTGAGCTCTAGTCCTTTGATTTGGTTTACCTAAGGAGAGTGAGACCAAATTGAAATAAATTTTAGGTGTTTATGCAGTCTATTTTTACTTGTGGTGTGGTTTTGGAGCCAGGTGAAGGTTTTATCTTTAGGAAAAGAAAAGGAATGCTTTGCTGTATGAAGAATGGTAGACATGAGACTGCAGTTGCTCCTTGAGTGAAGTCCCGTAGTTTTCTTACCTGGTTGAGTGTGTGATTTATAGTTATTCCCTCTCTACACAAACCTTCCCCAACACCAGTAATGATTTAAAGGTTTAAGTGATCTCTTGCACCCTGGCACATCTGCACTTGTAGCTACTCCCTAAGACAGATATTCTAGACATAACTGGGCTTGCGTTTTGTTTTTCTTTAGAAAGCACACACAGAACACCATAACCAGGGCCCTTTATTTAAGGGTTTATTTTAAGCTAATTATGTAATAAGAAACTACCTTGGGAAACAATGTGTGCAGTTACTTTGGTAGATCTCAGGGAACAAAAGAAATCCCTAGAAGAAAGAGGGGACATGGCAGGGCAGTGGTCTCCTGACCCAGATCTGCTGCTACTAGAAGAGCAGCCATGGGTATTCGTTTTGGCTCTGGCCTGGGAGGTGTTAAGGACAGGGCCAGGCAGGCAGCTTCTCCACTTTTCCCATTGGTTGTTATCTCAAATCCTTTGAAGCTTCTTTATCAGTGTTGCCTTACCTTTTCTGCATAGTTCTTTAAGAGCCTTTTATCATCTCCTGGGTCATGTGATAGTACAAAACCGGTTGGAGAAACAGTGCTGATGTTATGGAAATAATTACTGCTCGTGCTTTCCCCAGCCTGTCAGAACACGCACTTAGCTCTTTGTCATAGCTTATGAAACTCTGAAACTCCTGTAGTGCACTGCTAGTGGGGATCTCATAGCAAATTGTCTTGTGATTAAACCAAATATATAAATGGGATTGTTCTTCTGAGAAAGTCGTAGACTGATTGCCTGCAGTTCTAGTCATAGTAGCACCTATGCAGTATATTAAGTCTGAATGCCAGGCTTACCATTATCAGCAGAGCTCAGTGGTGGTTTTACCCCATGTTACATTTATTTCTGGAGGAAGAAGTATTTTCATAATCTACCCAGTGCTTTAGTGGTTACTGAGAAATATCCTCCCAATCCCATCTGAAACCAGCCTGCTTTAATGGAGAATGGTACTAGCTTCTGACACTCTTATCCTAACTGCATGTATCTTATTAAGTTCAGATATGTTTTGTTTGTTTGGGCCTTCCTGAAGGGATTTAAATGCAAATGATGAGCCTGGGTAATTAATGGTGAGTGTCAGCTGTCACTCAATCACCTAATTTTTTTTTTTTTTTTTTTTTATGTCAGCCTCCCTTCTACTGAGGGTGATCTTGTCTTTGAAAGGAAGAGAACTGTGGTCTTGATACAGTGTGTGAACCACTGAGGTGGAACAGGCACTGCTTATGAGAGACTGATGGGTTTTGCTTGTATTAAGTAGTTGAGGAATATTCTCAATGAAGAAGGTAATGAAAATACATTTGGAGCAGATATCCCATGTCTTGTTTCTACTGCAGAAAAAGAAGTCTCTTTAAAGGGATTTTAAGGATTGTTTACTTTGTCTTAGTCTACCTGTTTAACTACAAATTTAATAATTAAGATGGAAGTGTTATAATGAGGACTCTGTAAACAAAGTGGATGCAGAATAGATGCTGCAGGATGAAAAATATGCTGTTAAATAAATGTAAAGGAAGTTTTAAATACCAATATTCAGTTGCAAATAACAATAAGGAAAGCGGATATTTGGGTTTTTTTTTTTTTTGAAAATGAACGTTTCAGGCCAGGAAAAAAAATAAAGCTAAAACTACAAGTCTTCCTTAAAAGTAGAATTGAGTTTATGTTTATCCAATAATATAAAGGCGCAAAGGAATAATGAACATGCCTTGGAATGTCTGTCATGCTGCAGAAAGCAGAAATTTAAACTTTTCTGGATCTTGTGGGCTTCTTTTTGGTATTGGTTACATTGTTGTAGGCACGAGAATTGTGCTTCAGGTTGAGCGAGTCTGCTCCTTCACCCTTCAGGGAATAGAATACTGTATTTACTGACTACTTTTGACAGCATTCCTTCAAGGTGTTGCAAATGTACATGGCTGCTAGTTGGTTTTGATGAATTTGTAGCTGTGTTGTTCTTCTGGCTAAGATTTTTCGGAAAGGGCTTGGGGGGGAGGGGAGTACAATGTGACAACAGTCTCTTTTGAGGTCTTAATGTTGGTTTAGTTAAATACTGCTTCCTTCCCATCCCTGCTGATTTAGCATAATCCATTTGTTTTCCAGAAATGGACATCTCAACACAAAATGTAAGTTTAGTTTTCCGGACTAAATTCTGCTTTGGTGACTGAGTCCCCAGAGGTCAATTAAGTGTCCAAGAAAGCCTTCCTGGAATACTGAATTTAATATTGAAATCTGTGTGGTTAAGCACTTTGTTTTGATGCATATTGCTCTTTGATGTACTAAACTTTGCTAGGGTTGAGACATGCTTCTGATGAGCAGTATTACACCAGAAAAATGTGTTGTTGTTTAGGGATTGGCTGTGTTAGGGAAGGGCTGGGGTTGTTTTTGTAATTGCAAAACTGCCATTCAAAAACACTTCAAGAGAAACACTAAAATAAAACGCTGCAAGGTCTAACTAGCATTTAAAAACAGTTTTAAAATGTTTATGCTGAGATTTGAATGCACAAGATGCATTTTAGGTATTGAAGGTGTTTTTATTTATAAATTAAAAAACCATGTTTTCTCTTTACTGATATTTTATTGAAGGATATAATTTCCTCATAAATAGAGGCCAGGTATGCAGATTTTTTAAAATTTTATCTGCTTCTTGATAATACATTTGTTTCTGATCTGAAGAAGGCAGTTTTCTTTTCCTCTGTCAGCTCCACAGTCTTCTCCTGTCTTCTGATCTCCCTCGTACTTCTAGCTGGCTTCTGCCACCCTTAATTGTACATTAAATTCTTTCTCTGCCATTGTACCTCAGTTTTAATGGAATAGCTTTGATAATATGCTCTTCAGGTTTCCTGTCAGGCTTCATTATCTTCGGCCATGTGTTATCACTGCCTCTCTTTTTGTATTCTGCTTCCTTGAGCGTGCCTTTTTCCTTCTCCCCTCCCTACCTCGCTTTCTCACGTACATGTTATGCAGCTGGTAGGCTTCTGCCAGCTCCAGGGGCTTGTCAGTAAAGAGTGAGTCAGACGGCTCACATCTCTGCTTCCCGTCCCCCGTGAGGCTGAAGGCAAAGCCTGTCTGGCAGTCTCAGCTCTGCCCTTGGGAGCGGGGAATGGACAAACCGTTCTGGGCTACCGGGCATAAGGAATAAGCTCTCTTGCTGACTTCTCACATTTTGATTTTATGGACTGCAAAGAAATAACTTCTGTAATGAAGTTAGGGATGCCTAAGCGAGCCCAAGTTGGTGAGAAATTGAAATATTTGTGAGAAGTGGTAGTACTGCTGTTTGGGAATGTTGGTGTTCTGACACAAGGACTTTGGGAAGGAATCAGGTGCATGCAGATGGTGGGAGCCTCATCCTGGTACACCGCTCATC